CACGCCCAAGTCAGATCCCATTGCATTTCCTTCTCCAGAATCTCATGAAATGTGAGCCTCGTGACGATAGCAGTGCAGGAGCAGGGCATGGAGCCAGGACCTCTGCGATCCTCTCACAGCCCCCTCAGGTCTGACGTGTGTGACCACAAGCACAGCCCAGGAGATGTACCCAACCCCCTGAGACATCACAGCAGAAGGAGAAGGTGCAGTACTTACATTCAGGTCTACCTCGAGGAACTGGCCGGTCACCAGTGGCAGGCTGGACACGGTGTACTGGATACTGCCCAGTAAGCCCAGTGGCACCAGTGCTGGTAGAAGGGATGTGGTTCGGTGGCTGCTGCAGCTCTGCAGCACAGAGCTCGCCCCAAGCAGGCTCTGCCTGGATCTGAAAGCTCCATGCTGCTGGCAGAGGGGCTGCAGCATCACAGCCTCAATGCACCCAGCACGACCCAAGGGAAAGGCAGAGTGAGGGGCTCCACTACTTACAGTTGACCAGCCCCAGCTGATCATTGACAAGTCCCAGGGCAACATCAAGTACTGGGCAGAGCTGTGGAGGGATGAGGAGAAGCTGCTTAGAGCTGGGCACAGCCCTACAGCCCCACATCAGGTGTACCAACTGGCTCTGGTTTGGCTGATGCAGAGCTGCACCATGAAGGTTCTTCCTTCCATCTTACCAGATTAGGCAGAAGCCTGTTTAGGACACTAGCCAATAAATTATCCACAACTGGGAGCAGGCTGTGGAAAAACAAAGGATCTCCATGAAAAAAAAAAAAAAGGAAGAAAGAAAAAAAAAAACCTGCTGCAAGGTAAATGAGTTTTAAACAATTCCCTGTGAAATGAGTGCAGAGCAGACCTCTTGGAGAAAGGCAATTGCAGCAGCAAAGTGCACTGTTATGCTTGGATTTTGCATGAGATAAGTCTAATTGGCATCCCAAAATAGCCAGTGGGAAATTTAGTGCTGCCTTTTATCTGCTGGTATATAGGCTCCTTAAATGAGCAGCAGCAGCCTCAGCCCGAGAGCTTTGTGTGCTTCACGTGACAAACGGTTACACCTCAGAGGACCCCACGCGATCTCGGGCGGAATGATCTCAAACACAGCACAAGGGACAGAAGCGTCCCTCCGAATGTCACGCACCCTCTCAGCAGCCTGACTTTAATGCCTCCAAGGAGCGTGTTGCATTTTTCCACCACCAGTTTGGGGTAGCCGCTGCCGTCCATGGTCAGCCGGACCTGCGAGGTGATGTTCACTTCCACGGCAATGTCCAGCAGACCCAGCAGGCTGTGAGGGGGAGCAGGAGCAGCTCAGCCCTCCATCCCCCGGCAGCCAGGCTCGCAGGGCAGTGGGGCACAGCCAGACCCACCTTCTGCCATTGAGGGCCACCCGTGTGTAAAGGTTGAGGTGGAGGCCGATGCCGGGCAGGAGCCGTAGGGACACCCTGGGCAGAGTCAGCTCCACGATCCTCAGCCTGCGTGGACAGCAAGGGGACCCCATTTTCTCAGCTGTTTTCCTGTTTTATCAGAATCTGTGCTCTGGCTGCCTTATGATTGCTTGTCTTTGTGCTTCTGCTGGGCTTCAAGAGTTAAAGCAGGAAATCTGCCGACAGCCCAGCAGCGGGTTGGAAGCGATGCTGATGCACGGCTCTGAGCTCCCCCTATGGGAAGCAACTCCAGGCTCCAAACCCTTGCACCTCTGGGAGGTCCTTATGCAGCCTCAGTGCCAACCCAGGGACATTGCAGGCAGCACCAACACTGGATCATCACAACCCGACCACACCTGAGCTTCTGCACCCAACAGCACTCAGAGCTCCGCCAGGAGCCGCACTTACCCCGTGAGCCCCTGCACTGTGCTGAGCAGGCCTCCGTCCCCAAGGACACCCAACAAGCCTCCTCCGAGGAGCCCAGCTGAGCCGGAGGGGTCTCCATCACCCAGCAGAGCCCCCTGCCCCTCTGCTGCACCCGGCACATCCGCAGGAAGGGACCCCCTGGGAACAGACCAGCTTCTGGGAGGGGGACGGCTGCGGGAGGCCACCCAGGAAGCATCCCCATTGCCACGGAGACCACCGCCTGCATCACGCCCTCCACCAAGGGCACCAGCACCAGCACCATCACCTCCACCCAGCAGGCCACCCGTCAGTCCCCCAAGCAGCCCCCCACTGCCCGTCAGCCCCCCCAGCAGCCCCCCGCCACCCAGCAGGCCGCCAAGCAGCCCCCCGCCACCCAGGAGACCCCCTCCATGGCCGTCCTGCAGTGCTCTGCTTCCATCCATCCCGCTGATGGGCAGATCTCCGAGGGCTCCTTGCAGGACTGCTCCGCGTTGCAGGGAACCTGCAAGAGCTGGAGAGCCATACTGGGATGAGCACACGGGGTCTTGGTGTGGGTCATGGAGAGGTTTGTGCTCTCCATCCTGGTCACTGCCTGTATCAGTCCCTGCCTGTACTGTGATATTTGTGCCTAGCCCAGGAAAAGGGCTCAGGTACCATGTAGATACTGGGGCAGGAGCACAGTGCCCAGGGGAATGTGAAGGTGGGACAGCGAGGGGCCTGGCATAGTGAAGAGCCTGACATGGTAGCAAACACTTAGGCAAAGGGCTCACATCTCTGCAGAGGAGCAGCCCCCAGGAGGTGCAGCCCCTAGAGAAGCAGCATCACTGCTTTGTCCCTCTCAAATGGGAGTAATTCTGGAAGCCTGGCTACTTGGAATTTCCAAAAGAAAGAGTCAGGATTCAATCTGAGGAGAAAGTATGCATGCAACCTTCAGGCTCCTTCACCCCAATGCCAACCCCCTCCCTGTCCAGCCTCGCTGGGCTGCACAGCACCTCAGACCGAGGATCCTGCTATCACACTCACCATCACTCAGAACACCTTTGTTGAGGCGGAGAACAGCATCTGTTGGCAGCTGGCTGAGGGCTGGGGACAGCAGGGCACAGAGCACAGCGATGCTCAGAGCTGTCAGCATGGTGTCCTCTGGTGTGGCAGGATGGGGATGCAGGGGACAGCTCGCACTGCTGGCACCGAGACACCAACAGCAACCTGGGGAGGGAAACTGGGAGGAGAGGAACCCCTGAGGGGTTCTGAGCAAGGCACACATTTTTCAGTGAATAGCAAATCTTTAGGAGAACCAAAAGCCTTCGTGTGTTTGAGCCCCATACAGCAAACAGATTTGGATGCACGTGAAAAAGGGTATAAAGAGGGAGGGCCCCCATAGTCATGTCTGCGGGCAGGATTGCTGCACAGCCACAACACCTGTGTGCTTGCTGCCACTCACACGCAGCCAAGCAACTCACTCCTTTCCATCTCCGGTCGCTGTGACACGAGTTTAAACTTGCTGTTCAAAATCATTACCCATAACCCAGAGATTGCTCTGAGCTTCCCCTGCTGACCCCCACTCCATGTGCAAACTCATTGCACTGCAATACAGCCTTTCAGCTCTACTTCGTATCCTCTTGTCTGAGTTTTCAGCTGAACCAGAATCACTTACCTACATTTCTGCCATGACTGGTAGCTTCCCCATGTTTGTGTTGTTTTTCTCACTCATCAGAGCACAGCATAAGGCAGGTGGTAAAGATCTGCACCCCAGCTGCACCACTGTTACCTGGCCCTATCCTGTCTCCACTCCTGGCCTGAGGGGGACCTTGTAGCTCAGCCACCTGTCACCTCCTACCTGTGAGGAACAGGGGGGTTCTTATATAGCAAAACCGATGCAGGGATGCCTAGAGTTACATAAAGGTGGACTGGTGGGTTGTGCCCATCCAGGAGCATTTGCGGTTTTCCTATATTCCAGTATAAGCAAGGATTTGGGGCTGAGTATTGTGCAATAGGTCACTGGATCCCCCCTTATCGGCAGTGCTGTTTGCCAAGAGCTCAGAGGAAGGGACGAAATCCCTGAACCTCAGGAGCACAAAGCTGCCACCAGGCCCACAGGAGATGCTGGAAAACCATCCCGTTCCACGGCTGTGTGGGCACATTCAGCCAACATCTGCACCAGGATACAGACACAAACCATGCACACCTGTGGGTGATTTTTCAAGCCCTGCCCAGCTTTCCAGCAAGCACATGGATAGGAGCCAGACAAGCCCTGGGAGACATTTCAGCTCCTTTATTGCTCAACCTGAGAAGCAGCTCCCCAGGATTACCCTCCCAACCCGTGCAGCTGCCCCAGCCCTGAACACATTTCTGCAGCCACAGGAAAGCCCTGAGAAGCACGGATTGGGTGTCAGCCCACAGATCACAGGAGTTCTTTTGTCCTGGTGCCTTGGAAGGTTAATGCCTTCCCAAGATAAAATACATTGCTCAGAGCCCAGCTAAAGCTACCCAGTGCATCTTACGTAACGGTGGCAAAATACATCCAGAAACAAAAGCAGTGGGAACGCAGAGCTCAGCTCGTGTCCGGTTCCAAAGGCAAAGGAGCCTTTGTGAGTGGTGCTCCTTCCCAGCCCACCTGCTCTGCTCCTATTCTGCCATCAAGGTTCAAGCCCTGTTCCCCGCCTCTGCTCACAGCCCTGAGCTTCAGGAACGTGCTCCCCAAGGTGCCAGCTTACCAAACTCTTTGCCATGGGTAAGGCCCCCACTTCAAACCACTTTGCTTTTCCGTGGCCGTATGGCGCAGGGCACTGCAGAGATTAATGGGCTCTGGCAGCTGGAGACACATCCAATGAATATTCAGGAAGAAATATTGACGCAGTGAAGGATTTTATTGAAAGAGCAATTTGAGAGCAACGCTGATGCCTAAACAACAGCTGCGATTCCAGACTTTGGGTGTTAGAATTGGCCACAAAAAGTCCCCCCTGACATCCAGCAGCTGAGCAGCATCTCCGTACCACAGTTTGGGCTGCAACAGGATGGACAGAGCAGAAGCAGCCCTCTGTCTGGGCCACGGTGATAACCTGAAATAGTGCTCAGGAGAAAATAATAACAAAGCAATTGGGGATGGCCAGGGCTCTGTGGGGAATCGTCTGTCTCACCCCAGGAGTGAAGTGGAGGCTCCTCTGGTATGAGCTGGTTTCAGAGCTCTCTGCTCTGGTTGATCACAAAAGTGTTCTGCCAGGAAGAAGGACAAAAATGACTCAGTTTTCTCCCTTGGGTTTCCCCCAGCTCTTCTCTACATCTGACCGGTGCATCTTTGCACAGAGAAGCCCCGTAGGAGGAACAGCAGCTCCTCAGGATGGGGCCAGCACAAATGTGAGTCTTACGTCAGCCACGTCCACCTGGCCGTTCTCGAAGTTGGTGTTGAGGATGTTGGGCAGCGGGATCCCCATACCTACAGCATCTGCAAGGCCAAGAGAGCAGCTCATCAGAGATGAAACCCCAGAAGTGCCAGCTGGGGAGGGGGCTACGGGCTGGGCATGGAAAGGGGGTTCACCCCTGCCATACTGTTGATGGCAGGCACGTATGCAGCTGCAAGGATGTCCTTCACCCATCCTTCCAGTTGGGAGACCTGTGGTGGGAGGAGGTATGAGTTAGTGCCAGAGTGGCAGTGCTGGGGAGAGCTGAGCTCTGCGCCCTGTACTTACATTGATGGAGCCGAGCCGCGAGGATGCCAGTCTGAGATTTATTCTGCAAAAGATAAAAACAAGGAGGAGTGCCACCAGAACGGCTGCCACTGAGTGCTCTGAGCAGTGCTCACACCCCTTTCAGTCCAGAATTTTTTCTAACCACACAAAGGTAGAGTGAAAACAACTCAATTTCTTCAAAAGACTCTCGTGAATTCAGGCGAGCTCTTCCTCTGGGGCAGCTCTGAGCTCTTCACACCCACATCACAGCCCCATTACCCATGCTCAGACACAGCCTCTGTGCCCCCAGCAGGGCTCTACCTGTCCACAGCCAGAGCAGTGTGCAGACGGCCGCCAGAGACAGACGGGGTGATGTCCAGAACGATGTCCTGCCATTGTGACAATAGAAGAAAAGGAGTTATTTCCTCCCAGAGAAAAGCCGGAATATTTGGAAGTAACTCAGGCCGTGAAAAACACACCTGTCTGTGCTTAGAAATAGCATTTTTTGGACAGGTGGCATCACAGATATCCCCCCCACGATTGGGAATTATTCCCCAAAAGTTTCACCTGTGTGGTTATGGGCACAACTGTGGGACCGGGCAGCGCATTCCCAACGTGCAGGGGAGGCAGTGGCTCAGGGCACTCACCGAGTCCAAGCTGAAGAGGGTCTGCGGGGGGAAGCCGGGGCGTTGTGCAAGGACATCGATGGCTGCTCGCAGAGTGGCAGTGGCCTTCCCGTCCCTCAGGGCCACCACAGGTGTGTCAGCCAGGCGCACACGCAGTGCCAGCGGCAGCGAACCAGGCAATACGGTGCTGAGCTGGAGGGAGAGATGCCATCAGAGCCTTGGCACGGCTGGGATTTGGGCTTCAGAAACACAAACATCACTGATACTACAAAGGGGGCTGACCTGGGGGAAGGCTGAGAGCAGGGCTGAGGTGGTCAGCGGGATGCTGTTGGGCACCTGTAGGAGCGGTGATGGGGTCAGTCCAGGCGGGGGGCGGTGGGAGCACCCCTGATCCCAGCCCCAACCCACCGCCGAGCTGGAGATGTCCATGCTGAAGGCTCCCTGCCGCTGTGCCAATGCCAGCACAGCATTCAGCACGCCCTGCGACAGCCCCAGCTGTGTCCCAGGACCCGCGGCCGGAGGCAGAGTGACAGGCACTGATAGACCTCCTGCTGGCTCCACCACATTGCCCTCCGCGTCCCTGAGGAGGAGCTGCAGGGACAGAGCAGAGCAGGAGGTTGGCATGAGCCGTGCCACCCGTGTCATTAATCAGCACCCCAATAATCAATGCACTGCTGGTTTCTACTGCTTTGGCACAGGCAGTGATTGCATTCGCTGCAGCTCTCTGTGTAAAGCACTGTGATCAGTAAGAGACACTGACAATCCTTCTTGTGCAATTATAATCCCCATTAATTACACACCTAACTTTTACAAACCACTTACAAATGGAACCTTTGCATAAATGGCGACCCATTGCTCTTGTACAAAATGCTAACACGGGGCTTTTCTAATGAACGACACCGTGAGTGCTGCAATCACACTTAATTAGCCAGCGTCCAGCCGGTCTGACTCATGCTGCCCTCAAGGATTAGCAAATATGGAACAGACACAGACCCTGCAGTGGCAGGAGCACGGAGCTGGCTGGGCTGTGCTGCACTGTGAACACCCTGCCATAGAGCTGGGGACCAGCACTCCTCCACAAGCAGCCACCCCATGGAGGTCAGTTACCCAAACCCAAAAACTCAAAGGCAGCACTTACGTTCAGATCCAGCTGGATGGACTTGTCACCAATGATGGGAAGGGAGGACAGAGTGTACTGGAGGTTTCCCAGAGCTCCCAGAGGGAGCACAGCTGCAAGACACAGGGAGGAGATCTTCTAACCTGCAAGGATGAGCTGCCCACAAGTACTGTGGTTTCCAAAGACCCCGTTCTGTAGGCAGCCCCTGGTTGCAGCCAGCCCAGCCAGACAAGGGGTTATGGCACTGTTCTGCAGCAAAAACTGCTAAGTGCAGGGCAGAGCTCAGTGGGGCACATGGACAGGAGGGGGCTACCAGCACTTACAGGTGACAGATCCCAGCAATGAGTTCACGACGCCCAGCACGGTGTCAACGACGGGGCACAGCTGGGGAGGCAGAGGGGTGTCAGGGTCCCCAGCACACAGCAGCATGGCTGCGTGGCGTCACCAGGGCTGGGGGCACGTCACCCCCTCCTGCTTGCACTGGGATTTGCATGGGTCTGGTGCAGGGCTCAGCATTGCCTCTGCCATGGGTGCACAGAGACCATCGCATGAACACTTTGCTCATGTTCCAGGGCCATGGAGGCAATGGGGCTGGGTGTCCCAGGTGAGCCTGCAGCTGTGCAAACAGCCCTGCCACCCACAACAGTGACGCTCCTCACCCAGACTTACCAGCCTGGGCAGCACGTTCCCAAGGACGCTCTTTAGGGTTTTTTCCACAAGTGGCACTTTGGGTCTGGGTAACAGGAAAATAGGAAACAAAATGGGATGATGGTGAGCAGTTGAAAAATAAGCGTACTTTCAACAAGAGGCACTGCTTGCACCATGCAGGGTTGTACATCAGTGCCTAAATATCACCCAAAACTCCCCTACAGACCTACCCCACACGGATATTGATGTCTCCAAGAAGGGTCTTGCAGTCTTCAACCACCAGCCTGAGAGCCCCCGACTTGTCCTGGGCCAGCCGCACTCTTGCAGTGATGTTTGCTTCCACCTGGAGCTGCAGCAGACTGCCCACGGCGCTGCATAGCCCAAGGGAGCACATCTCAGAGGGTTTTCTAGCCATCTGCTTTGCAACAAGATGGTGCAGCCTCTGCTCTGAGCTGTGCCCCCAGTGAATGCTCCTTACCCATTGCCATCTATCAGCAGCTGGGTGTAGATATTCAGCTGGAGACCAACGCCTGGCAGGAAGCGCAGAGTTATTTTGGGGAGAGTGATGTTCACAATTCTCAGCCTGGAGTTGGAACAAGGAAGGGCAGTAAATGACATATTTGCTACTTCTTACTTCCCTGGGATCCTCTCGGCCCCCAGTGCTGAGGTCACACAGCTGTGATCTTGGGGTCCCCTGCACCCTGGGACATAGGGCTCCCTTTTAGCCAGGGCCAGCTCATGATAAGCACATGCAGCCTCGTGACAGAAGCTCCCAACTTCTCAACCCTCATTTATGAACTCGCCCTAAGAGGAGAAGGTAAGCGCCATGTCCAGACCACAGGCATGGCCAATAATGGAGCGCTGCTCGGGAACACATCTACCACTCTCACTCACCCTGTGAGTCCTTGCACGGTGCCCAGCAGACCATCCTTGCCGAGGAGACCTCCTCCAAGAAGTGAGCCTTGACCCTGGTTGCCAGTTCCTCCAAGGAGACCACCGCCAAGGAGACCGCCCACGAGACCATCACCACCAAGGAGACCACCAGCAGGTCCACCACCACCAAGGAGACCACCAGCAAGTCCATCATCACCAAGCAGACCACCAACAGGTCCATCACCACCACCAAGGAGACCACCAACAGGTCCACCACCACCAAGCAGGCCACCAACAGGTCCATCACCACCCACAAGACCACCCGCAAGACCATTATCGCCCAGGACACCACCAACAGGTCCACCACCTCCAAGGAGACCACCCACAAGACCATCACCACCAAGGAGACCACCAACAAGTCCGTCGCCACCAAGCAGACCACCAACAAGTCCATCGCCACCAAGCAGACCACCAACAAGTCCATTGGAGCCTAGCAGACCACCAAGAAGTCTATCGGGGCCGAGCAGACCACCCAGCAGCCCCTGGAGAAGGTTGCCGTTGGCTAGTGACCCTGTAATGGCTGAAGAAAGGGGTGAGAGGTCACTGTGAGCCATGCACATCCAGCACGCAAATATGCTGTGTCAGCCTGGCTGACCTTCCCCTCATCTCTGCCCCTTTTTCTCCCCTTTATACAACAGGGGTGATGCTCCAGCCTCTGCACAGCATCTTAAGTGCCATGTTCAAAGTGCTTCATAAATGCATTGTCAGCACAGCCTGAACAGATCTGAACCAGATTCTGATTTTCTTAGTACTGTCAAGTGACAGGAAGAGCAGAAGTGGTCTCAAAATGAAGATAAATCCTGTCTCTTCCAAACACTTACCACTTTCTAGCACATCTTTATCCACCCTGGCAGACACCGGGGCGCTCCCAGGAAGTCCTTGGGAAGAGGTGAGCAGACCACAAGTGAGGAAAACCACCCAGAGGACACCCATTTTCGGTCCTAGTTAAGTAGAGGAAGAAGTTGCCATCATGTAGTGCTGGACAGTGAGCACTAGCTGATGGCTGCAGGAAACAGGAAGGAGGATGGAAAAGGAGGAATGCCTCTCAGGGAAGACAAAAGCAGAGGGAAAGCTCCTGGTACCTCTCCATCTCTTGTAGCAAGCAAGAATAAGTTTTTGTTAAAAAGTTCACAGTCATAAGCTAAAATCAAAGCCTCTCCTTTGGAAAGAACTGGGGTTTGCAGAAGCAGAAGCTAAGAGCATGCTGTTTGAGAAATAATTTTGCTCTTACCTGACTGATCTCTGCAGAGCAAGGATGTCTCCAGCCGCTGTCCCTGCCTTCTGCAGACGACCCACAGCAGGCATCCTTATATACAGAACTTTTCAACAGGAATGAGGCAAACGATGTCACCGAGGGCATCCAGAATAATTAGCGGGGAGCAAAACAAACAAGACATGGTTTCTGGTGACTTCCACTGCAAATATTTCCTTACAGATATTAGGAGTTGGGTAAAGCATTGAGCAATGACCAATAGGTGTAGCAGCAGACGTCAGTCCAGCGCTGGGTGCCAGTGCTCATGGGATGTGCATACACTGCTGCTGGGATAGAACAGTGTGGTTTGGGGCTGTATCAAGACATGAACATGGCTGTAAAGTCATGCTCAGGTAAAACACTCTTTTTTTCCATCTGAAATTAAGGCCTTGACTGAAAGTTGTATCAAAACATCGGGTAACCATGCAGTGGGTGCATGTCATGTGCTAAGGATGTTGAAGAAAAAGCCATACAGCACCCACCCCCGTGCCACGGCAGTCCATGGGGCTGGTGTCAGAGCTGGGTATTCCCCATGCCTGCAAGGCAAGACCCGATATACCTACAGCCTGTGACTTCACACAGCATTTACCAACAGTGACCTGAATGGCTCAGAACCTGTTTGATAGTTGAGTAGAAGGAGGCATTGAATTAGCAGGGAGTAGCAACACCGCCGTAGGGCATATGGGTGAGGTGCTGTGGTTTGTGGATACCCTGAACTTACAGATTCCATCTGATTGCAGACTCAGACATCACTTCTGAGCCCATCACTACTTCCACGTGCTGCAGGACTGGAGGTGAGATGGCAGGAAAACACATGCCACGTGTACCCACAGTCACCCTGACTCTCTCCTTGTCCCCTCACTCCTGACCCCAGCATTGTGGAGCTGCTCCTCGAGTTGCAGCACAGCAGCAGCTCTGGGCAGTACAGAACAGTCCCTCTCTGGGGGCTGCAGACCCACACAGCCCCACTGCAGGCCTGCACCTTGCATCCCTGGCAGAGGACACACTGCCCAGCCCAGGTGACATCTGTGAACTATTCACTCCGCTGCTGAGATGATTAAGGACAGGGTTAGACGGGCTGATCCCCAACATGGAGGAGTAATAGCTCAGAAAAAATGCTTGCTCAGAGCTAATACTTTCTGCAAACTTGGAAATTAGTATTTCCAGGAGATTAGCCAGCTTCTGTCACACGTTAATTCCAGCTTTAAGAAATACCTTAGCTAGGGGCCAAGGAGGGGATGACAAAGATGCCAAAGTACTTATGGAGCTGTCACTGTGCTGCAACCCGATCGGTCAGACACCCCCAGAGCACAAAGCCAGGCTGTCACTGCCAGATCGTGGCATTTGATAAGATGGAAGAGAGTGTTAACAAGATGGTATCACGTTGTCATCCCTCCTGAACCGCTTCACTCTTTGGCAATCAATCATGCTAGGAAGGCTGGCTGACCGTAAAGAAAGGCCCAGTGATGGTCAACACGCGGTGCTGGGCGTTGGGAATAACTCCTGTGCAGTGACCTTTCAGGCCTGACTGCAACGGGGCTTCGCACTGCTGAACACAGAGGTCTCTGACGACCAAACATTTTAGATAAACCAATGCAGGTTCCCATAAAGAGAATGACATCTCGAGGTCCAGCTCTCACCAAAGCGATTCTCAAAGCCTGCAGAACCCGGAGCCAAATCAGCACGGGAAGTCAGACACACAGAGTAAAGCAGATCAAAGAGAGAAGAAAAAGGATGAATATCGCTTTGACGCGTGGATCAGCAGGGAGATGAGCGGGGAGGGTGGGCAGCAGCAGCCCCAACCAGCCCTGGAGATCTTGATGTGAGCAGAGCAGGCACCATCTGAAGGTGGGCAATTCCATGACTGTGGGGAAATGCGCTTTTGGGACTGCAACAGATCTGGGGTATCCCAATTTGATGGAGCTGGTGTCAGCACATGGACTCCCTCTCCAATGGGGTGAAGGCCCTCATATCCTTTCCCTTTTGCCCCAGCACAGAGGGAATTGTGTTGTTCCCAGATCAGGAAGGGGCCCAAATGGCTCTGTGCTGCACCCAGCAGCCACCCCAGGCTGCAGTTACGTGATACCATGGCCTGGCACTGTATGACATGCATTATGGCAGGCCAAATGGGTGCCACCTGAGATGCACAGCTCTGGTTTCTCCTTGGAGAGATCAGATCTATATTTCATCTTAGAGAAATTCAAACCCAAAGGCTTTGGTCCTCTATTAGCTAATGCAAGAACAATAAGGGAAATTTTTTTCTCTGCTTTTTTCATACGGGCTTGGCCTTGGGAATGTTCACATGGCACTGAGGAGGGCAGGAACTGTAACAGCACCGTCTCAGCCATCCTCATAGGGAGCTGTGACTGCTGTCCCACTGCACTGAGACCATTTCCACCAGACACCCAGCACCACACGGGAAAACAAATGGGGTTTTCAGAGCCAGCCTTGCAGTGCGGTGCCCTCTGGGACAATTTCTTAAAAAAAGCAATGATTTTTTTTTTCAAATACAATCTTAGTTCCACACCAGCCACCTGCCACCGGGAATGAATGTTCAACTCACGATGGTTCGATGAAATGGGGATCGAAGCTGTTTATTGACCTCCTAATGACACGTAATTATCCAGCAATAAATGAGCGATACGCTCAGAATCAATACCTGCACTGCAGCCGATGGCTGTGGCAGGATTGGCTCCTGAAATACTAAAGTACACCACAACCCATCCCACTGTGCCCACTGATAGCATCCCAAACTGTCACATCTCCATGGTTCTGGAGTACCTACAGGGATGGTGACCCCTCCACCTTCCTGGGCAACTTGTGCCAGTGCATCTCTGCTCTTTTGGAGAAGAAATTTCCCCTAATATCCAACCCGCACCCCTTCTGGCACTCCCAGCAGTACCAGAGTCCATCACTAGGCAACATGCTTCTTTATTTTAGCCCAGAGAGTCAAAACATTGAAAAGCCAAGGGGAGAGCAAGAAAACCCCAGGAGAGCAGCCCTCTCCCATCCACCGAGTGCAGCCATCCCTCCCCATGCATCAGGACTCCACCACAGGCACATCCAGCACCAGCCCATCCTGCAGGTTAGAGAGAAAAAGCAACAGGCAGAGCTTCATCACTCCACTGCAATGGGTGTGAAGGATGAGGGCTCAGCCACCAAGGGTGCCTGGATCCCCATGCTGCACCTACCTGCATCCTCCTGAGCTCCACATGCCGGTACGGGGTGCCCAGCAGTGGGGGCAGTGGGACCCCTCCTCGCAGTGCTCCTGCAAGTGGTTGGGGGGATATGAGGGGCAGAATGTGGGGACCAGACCCAGGGGACAGCAGGCAGTGCTGGCGTGCTGGGTTGGATACAGCAGCACAAATGAGATCCCATCCCTTGGCACAACTTTCCGTAGGAGTTCAGCAGATGAATGGATACTCTATGGCAGGCTGCTTTAATGACAGTTTGCCATGGGATAACTGCCCCACCAGCAGCTCTTCCAGGATAATCACTCCCTACCCCCAAGGCCAAGGCCAGCCAGCCAATGCCGTTTCCAAAAGCAGATAACAACAGTCTATTGGCAAAGATTAGGACCATTTTCCCTGTGCAGAACGCGAGCCTTTTGCTGTAGCCATAGCATGCTTACTGTTGATGGATGGCACGTAAGCCACATGAATAATGTCTGCCAGGACTCCTCTCAGCGGCAGCACCTGGAACACAGCGTGGTGATGGACGTGGCCCATCTTTCCAAACACCGGCAGCCGCACCTGTCAGACTCCCCTCCATTAATTTCCCCAGTGCGGCCTCAAATCACAGGAAAATTGCACGTCCCCCCCCCCTGCTACCCCGAGATGAATGGGAACATTTGAGAATTTCTAAATTTCAGTGCAAGCTGTCAGAAAGTCTCTCCTTCCCCACACCTGCAGCACTGTGAGCACCCGGTGCCTCCTCATCACCACCCAGCCCCATGCACACAGACAGATCCTGCTCACCATCACCCCCTGTGTGGCTCTGCTGCTGTGATGGGGTTGGAGCAGGATTTGGGCACTCGAGCACCAAGCATACGTGGTGTGGGGTGTGGGCAGCCCAGCTTTATGGCCCAGACCTCCCAGGAATGCACAGAGTGCATCACGAGCAGGGAGAAGGGTCTGAGCATTTGTGGGCAAATGGTTTTGAGAGTTCTTTTATTGTTTACAACATCTTCCTTTGAAACGTTCATCTTCAGCATTCAATTTGACTTTCTTTAGAGTTCCAATACATTTGTTATTAATAATGAAAGAAACGGGGTTGGATTCTGGGGAAGGAATCCTGCACGAGCCCAGCAGCACTCAGACCCACAGAGTAGAGCTGTGCCCACACCCTGCAGGACTCACATTGAACGCACCGATGGAGGAGTTCACCACAGTCACGTGGGACAGGCTGTGGGGACAGGAGCATGGGGTCACTGCCCTGCCCTGCAGCACCCCTCCAACCTCAGCTCACACTCCTCCAAGACCCCCATAGCTGCCAGTACCAACCACTAAAAACCCATGAGGAGAGATGGAAGTGCACCAGCTAGGTGCGAGACATACTGCTGCCCAGCACCCCACTGCCTCTTTGCTGGTGGTGGCACTGGGCAGGCAGACCTGTGCTGTTACCTATGCAGGGTCAGGGAGAACTGCAGCCTCTCTTCTGTGACAGCAAACCGCACACCCAGCTCAGAGTGCTGCAGAGAGAAAAGGGGAGCGGGTCCCCTATGGGATATGTGTGCATGTAAGCAGATCCCCAGAAGCAGCTCCAGCCCCTCACTCACAACTCTTGTTGCCCCTCTGCAGTAGTGACCAAATCCCACTAACATCGCCAAAGGCTTCAGCTCACCACATCCAGGATAAAGAGGGATCCAGGAGCAGAGCCAGGACTGGAAGCCCAGAACTTGGCAGTGCTGAAGAGGTGCACGGTGCTTTTCTCTGGGGTTATTGTCACCAGCGGTGGTTGTGTCTCTTGCATTTCAATCACCACTGGCCGTGATGGAGGCAGCGTGCTGGAGATCTGGGGAAAACAAAGCAAAAGGTGACATATTCCCATTCCTTCCCAGCTCTCTTCCCTGGGGATTGTACTGGTGACTGCTGAGCACCAGGACTATTCACCAAAGTCCATGGTGACCAGGCAGTGTTATTCACACCACTTTTGTTAATAAAACACAAGAAGCACCAAACTGACTTGCACCATCAATAGCCTGAGATGGCCAGAGAGCAGCAGGAATGCATGAAGTCCACCCACCGCAGGAATGAGGGCTCCCAGCATCGTGGTCACCAGCGGGACAAGCCCCAAAACCTGTTGAGGAAGTGTCAGAGGGATGTAAGACATGCAGCTGGGGGGATCAATGTGGGGAGAGGTTGCAGGAGGCAGCAGCCTCATGGTGTTACCCCACCATGCCATTGGTAATGTTCAGGCCAAAGAATGCCTGCATGATGGAGAGCTCGGCACTCAGGAAGCTCGCAGCCAGGATGAGCTGAGTGGCTGCTTCCCTCTTCGGCGGGACGGAAGTGAGAGGTGGCAGCTCTGAGCGCAGGGCAACCTCCTCTCCCTCCTTGCTGTGGAGAGTGGCCTGAAAGGACCCACAGACAGAGCCATGTCAGCAAAGGTCCACTGCCAGGGTCTGTATTTGGGCTGTGCACATTGGACCGAGTGCATCTGACCTTCAGCTCCAGCTGGATGAAAGTTTCTCTCACCACGGGGGGGTTCAGCAGGGCATATTGGAGCATCCCAGCATTCCCAAGAGGGATTGCACCTGCAGGAAGGCAGGGTGGGGCTCAGCAGAACCATGCTGGCAACACTACAGCAGCTCCATGCTGTTCCCTCCCTGCCAAGTGCTGGCGATGCCAAGTGGTGCCATGTGCTCCCAGGCCTGAACTGGGACACACACGTGGCCCCAATGGGGAGTGACCCGAGTCCAACCCAGGTGTGGGGTTGGGATGGACACAAGGGCTTAATGGGTGGGGGGGTGTGGATGGAGAGGTGGACAGGTGGGTGGACACGTGGATAGGTGCCAACTTACGCATCATGTTGGCAAACTTTGCATTCACGAGGTCGAGCACCATGGCCATGGCTGGACACAGCTGGAGGGTGAAAAGAAAGCTGTGAGAGGCATTAGCAGCTCAGAGGGGGGGGAACACAGCTCTGTGGCAGTCAGGCTTGCACAGCTCCTGCCTCACGGCACTGGTACCCTCTGCTCCTAATTACCCAGACAGGCTCACCTTGGCTGAGTTATGCCCAAATCCAGCATCCCCTCACACACCCACCAGCTGATCCACTCACTTCCACCGGAGCAGTGAGCAGCAGCAGCAGAGCAGGAACAGGAGTAAGAGCACACCAAGGAGATGCTGTGCAGCACCGGGCAGCACTCACCAGGCCTTGCAGCACTTTCTGGAGGGTGCTATCCAGGAACTTGCTCATGATCAAGGGCAGCATGCTGGGCAGAGAACACACCATCAGCCAGCAGAGCAGTGAGGCAGTGTGTGCTGACTGCAGACTGAAACACCAGGAAGTCAGGTGCTAAGGACACCCAGCTGGCATGATGTGCAGTGGAAGATATTTCCCTATATAGAAAGCTTTTCTCAGGAATGCCATCTAAACAAGCTAAAAGAGGCCTGAAAGCAGCACAGCACTTCTACAAGGACTTTGGCCAAAAATGGGTGCTGCATGGAGTGATACAGATGGGACCAGCCTGGATTCAACCATAACACATCTGGGGCTTCATAGTGGAAAAAAACAGGGCCTTCAATAAATGAATATTCATAGTGAAAAGAGCTTGAGCTCTGCAGAATCCCTTTCCTGGGCACTGACCCCCCTCACCGGTGGGGCAGGTTGGCCCAGCTGTGGATCAGTGCCACGTGGCAGCGCCTGGTGCTGAGCTGGGGGCAGCCCTGCATGTCCTGCACCATCCGACTGCTGGTGCTCAGGTTGGCAGCCATCGGGATCTCCATTTTTCCTCCTATAAAGCTGCACAGGACAGAGCATCATCAGCACAGAAAAGCCACTTCCCTAGCAGCCAGCAGCCCCCATGTGTTGCCATTCCCCCACCTTTTCCCCATGAGGGTCATCCGGACCGGCACAGTCATAGAGACCCCCACACCAGGTGAGAGCCACAGCGCTACCTCCATGGCACAGAGCTCCATCGCCTTCAGCCTAGGGTAAAAGAGAAGAAAAGCACAGGGAGAGGGGTACTGCTGGACAAGCAACCCTCCCACCCCCCCTAGCTGGAAATAGGAGCCAACAAGCTTTGTTGCCTTGAAGTTATAGTTTCCCCTTTGCAGACACAGCCATGCAGAAAAATCACCGCCTTTAATATCACGCTTGTTAGCGGGCAGTGATTTGTTTCTGCCTCCGGGCTGACACTTCCAAACCTTCTGCTTTTATTTTGTGATTTCCAGATTCAGGCTCCCGGTGAAAGGCTGCTCAGCATCACTCACACGAAGATGCCTTTGATGGGTTTCGTGGTTGCCCTTTTTTCTGTCGCTCCCTCTACCAGCTTCTGAAGAACATCACTCTCATTCAGCACGGTGGAGACCGCTGGAATATTCACACAAGAGGCTCAGAACTGATGGCCCAATTTGGGGGGGAGACAGTGCTGGAGCAGAGAGAACTCATCACCTCCATAGAACAGGGTTGGTAACACATCCTTGCTGCAACAAGCACCCATCCCTTCATCCCTGCATCCCTGCCCCAGCTTACCACGGTTGATGGTTCCAATGTCCATTCTGAAGATGGCCTCAGGGTCCCCAGAACACTGTGATGCTGACAGGTAGCCCCCAAGGAGCAAAATGTACGACAGTATGGTCATGGATGGTACAGCTTGCATCCAGCTCTGGAGGCTGAAGGAACACAAAGAGGCAATCAGCTGGAGGCAGCTCCCGCCAGCCCTTATATACAGAGCCCTGGCTGAGAA